GGAGCCATTAGATGTATTCTCTTCCACCCTCTTCATTTTTTGGAAAGGGAACAGTGGAAGAGGAATGTGGCTTGCCCAGTTTTGAAAGTTGGTGGCAAAACTGAGATTAGGTCTCTTAACTTCTCGTCTTGGACTTTTATACACAGAAGAGCCTGCCTCCCAGAGCCCAAATGGAGCTTGTCTGTCTGCCACTGTTGTTCCCCATTTGTGTCCTCCTGGTGCTGAAGCTCTCTGTTTGTGTTTCCTCACAATGTTTCTTATGCTGTCCTGCCTGTGGTTGATAGGTGGCAAGGAGACAACGGGGCTGATGAGAGATGGGCTTGGGCAGCAGCAGGCCAGGAGACAGATGAAAAAAGGGCTCTTGGGGCAGAGGTGGAGTGATGAAAGCCTTGAGCTCCAGGGTGTGAAATGTGAACTTGGTGCCGACATCTAGTGTGGGAGCTGGGGCACCACAGAGGTGGATGTGCTGTCGGTGAGGCCAGGGAGTAATTTTAGCAGTGATATTTTAGGGATGACTTGGGGAGACCAGCAGGCTTTTTTTTTTCTTTCCATACTCCCTGAGATAACATTGCTTCATAGCAACTTCCTAACTACTCTGGTACATGCCTGAGAACTTGTCCCAGGGTGCTTGGGGGCATATCCTGCCTTAGGGAGAAGTGCTCACCCCTAATACTGCCATTTCCTGCTCTGGGCTGCTTTTCCTAAATGTGTCATCCATCCACCCACATTGCCCACTTCTGAGGACTCATTTCATTCTAAAATAATCCCTCTTTTTCCTATTTTCCTGCTCTGCATCCTCTTTAGGATACCTTCCCAAGCTTCCCCATTGAAGCTTCCCCCCATATCCTTTACTTCCATATCCTACTAGGTTTCTTCAGAGCACTTGTGAAAATCGGGAAATACTTGATTTGTTCCTGTTTCGTTGTCTCTTTCCTCCACTAGAATGTGAGCTCCCTGAGAGCAGGGACCATGGATATCTGTACTGTTCACTTCTGTGTCTCCAGAACCTAGCATCACAGCATAGGCACTCCAATACTGGATAACTGAGTAAATGACCATACAAGCTGAAGTGCTCCAGCCTGTGTTTCTAGCCTGTGTTAGAAGCTGGGAATTCAAAGGTGGAGTATAAAAGAGGCCTTGTCCTCAAAGCGTCACAGTCTGGTAGAGCAGATTGACATGTAAAACAAATAAGGACAGTAATATTAATCAACCTATTTTCATTGAACAATTGCTACTACCTGTAAGTACCATGGAGAATGCAAAGGAATACAAATGGCAATATCCTTGCCCTGAAGGAGCTTATAACTAAAAAACAACTTAAAATAGAAAAACGAGACGCCATCTTTGTTTCTAGAAACCCAGCTTCCTTTTCTTTAGTTTTCGTTGAGCCCCTACTTGACTTGAGTTGCAGTGGAGATGGGGTGTGGGTGGATTGTTGCTGCAAAGTTGATTTTCTTTCTTTTTTTTTTAAAGATTTTATTGAGGAATTGGGGGAGGGGAACAGTGCTGGGGAATCAGAGGAAGGGGAAGAGACAAGTTGCTGTTGTGTTGTTCTTCAGTCTAGTTGTGGAGGACGTTGCTTCACTGGCCTAAGCTGGCACCATCATTGCGCTCTTCCCGGGTGAGGCCGATCAGTCGCCGGCCTCTGGACAGCTGCTTACCGCGGCTGCTGGCTACACACGGTAGCCCATGGCAACCCACTGCCACAGGGAGTGCAGCCTACGCCGTCGCC